CCAATTTATCATTTCTCGTTGCTATGAATCTTGAATAATCTGCTTTTAGCGTCTGCGTGCCAACTAGCCCATGATCTGCTTCTGAAAGCCTCAGGCCCGTCTTGAAGCATCGTTTTCCTGTCTACTGCCACTGGGAGTTGTATCAATCGACGTTGGATCCATTTATGTAGCTACTAAAGGTACGAGCAAGAGAATATTTATTTATTATTATTATTATTTTTTAAGTTAGCAAGGGAATATGTTAAAAGAGCATGTAGATGGAAAATCAATAGAAAAGCTGTACTAATCAGAGCTTTGTCCACTTAGATTTATTAATTTAAAATTTTTGATTTAGGGTTAAGTTAAAGATTTAAATTTTTATGTTGTGAAATAGTTAATTTTTTAATGTTAAAAAAATAAAAAGCTCATTTTGATATTATAATATCACAATTAATATTATTTTATATAAACTTATAGTTTACATTTGTATATATTTAATTATTAAATAAAACAATTAAAATAAACACTACTTCTCTAATAAACCCTTCTCAAAAATAATACTGAAATTATTTTAGTTAATGGACTTTTGAAAAATTAAAACTACCTGAAAATCATGATAAAATCAAAACCATCCATCAGGTGACTTTTACGCTAGAGTCCACGTGAAAACCACCTTATGAATGGTCTTGATTTTGGTAGTCCTGGCTTTCCGTATCCTGTTATTTAATTCACATAAAAAGAACTAATCGAAACATATTTTTATCATTAAATTATGTTATTAATGCATTTCAGCTTTTAATTCTATTTTCCTTCTTTAAAGGGGGAAAACGACATCGTACAAGGGGCAAAAAGTTAACATAGTTGGCCCCCGTTTAGAGAGATCAGATCTGCTTTGAACCGTACTCCAATGGTTTCGAGTTCTATTTGTATTCTCTTGAATAAAAAACAATATAAGTGAACAATCATGATCTATGCTATAAAATTTTTAATTGAAAAGTTTTGATGCACATCTTTCAAGATTCATGTTTTAAACATTTACACCACAATTTTCAACAAGAGTCTTGGCCCCTACCTTATGGTGGGTACGGTGATAGTTATTATTAGTTTTTTTTAATATCATATATTTTTTTTTGAACAATTTTGTCATGGGGCGGGTTCGAAACCCACTCAGAAAAAGGAGATATGTACTTTTCAATAGCTCTAGTCACTGGGTCACACGGGTCAAGTGCATCATATTTAGTTATTTAAAAAATTATAAATTAATAATTCTAACAAAAATTATAGTGACAATAACTTTAAACTTATCTTAAGTTACTGGTCAAACTTCTTCTCTTTTAAGTTATACACCATTTTGAATTTGAGGGAACCACCCAAGACAAGGAAATCTTCATCTTCCACTAAATTTTTAATGTCATTTTTCTTAGCTAATAAGGTATTTTCAACAACGTAAATCTTATTTGTTATCTATGAACTCATTTATCTTGCTTGCACAATTATCTATCGCTTTTTATCCTGTTTCTTTTTGGTTTGTTCTTCATTGCTTTTCTTAACAAAATCTTTAGGTACAATCTTCGTTATAAACGTTTGAAATATTGGTCTGTTCACGTGTGTACTAATTTTTGAGTGGGGCACATATTTGTAGTACATATCATGATTAAATTTGCAAGGACCAAGGCATGCTATACCCCAAAAAAACTTCAGATTGATTTTCCAAATATGGTTCTGTTCATGTGTCAGAATTTTTGTTCTTCTCACGTGAAAAAAGCAGTTTTCAAAACAATAATTAAAATCCTGATATAAACTATTAGTTTTTGAAGTTGCAAGAAAAGTAGGACGTTTTGATTAACACGTGTAATTATAATTATAAAATAATTGAGATATAATATAAATTTTATTTAATTTTTAATTATTAAATAATTAAAATTAAATATTTTAATATTTTTAAGATTAAGATATCTTATTTTTTTATTTTTTTATTAATTTTCTATGGCCTTTCTCTTTTTTAATTGCAATATAATGGTATTTCTAGAATTAGTATAATACTTATGTAATTTTTAAATTTCTCAATATTATATTACATTTTGTTAAAAAAATGATAGGTAAAATTAGTCTTTTAATATTTTACAAATATATAAAATATATTTAATATTATTTTGATTAATATTTTATATATTGAGAAAAATGTATATTAGTTTTGATTTTTTTAAAAATTAGAGTTCTAACTTTATATTACGTCATTTTATTTAATTAAAATTTAATTTAAAA